CCCTCCCTCCCTCCCTCCCTCCCTCCCTCCCTCCTCCTCCTCCTCCTCCTCCTCCTCCTCCTCCTCCTCCTCCTCCTCCCCCCCCCCGCCGTGCCTCCGTTGCGCATGGCCAGCGCAGGTCCAGGCCTGGCCCCCTCCTCTATCCTCGGGCAGGGCCGCCGCCCGGCGAGCGCGCCGACCTGTGCCGGGAGCTCGCCCGGCTGGTCGAGGAGCGGGGGCCCCAGACTTCGACGTCGCGAGAAACTCACGACGAAGATTTTGACAACTTTCGGTCTCTGGAGGTCCTCGCCGGGCCCTGGGAGCGTCATAAAACGACCCGGGATGGAAAGCCGGCCCCAGAGGAGGTCTCCAGACTTCGGGGGGCCGACGTCGTGAGTTTCTCACGACGTCGCGGGTCTGGGGCTGTTCTGGGCGGGGAGGGAGTCGGGGAGGGGAACAAACTCGGAGACACAATGAATCGGCGATCCCCAGAAGCATCTGGGAAGATATTGGAAGTGGGGGGGGACGAAATCCAGAAAATATGAGGAAAGGTATGGGGAGTCCTGGGATCTGTATCTCTTTCTTTGTGTGTGCCCCAGGGCCCCTTCTGTGAGGACTGTGTGGATCGCCGCTGGGGTGGCAAAGGGGGTAACAAAGGAGGTGCAGCGCGGATGCCAAGGTGGGCGTGTCTGGCCCCACCTGGCTGAGGAGTGGGTTGCCGGAGTGCCGTGTAAGCTGCGCGCTCAGAGGGGGTCAATGACTCTGCGAAGTGGGGGGAGCCTGACTCGCCAGGTCATTGACACTCCCTTCGCCACATGGGGCAGGCGTAAAGTTGTCCACCGCGTATAAGTCAGATCAGGCCTGACAGAACCCACCCTGGAATCCGCATGTAACCTCCCAGTACACTTAGCACCCCCCGCGGCGCAGTACACTTAGCAACCCCCACGGCGATCCCAGTAGGGGCGGGTGGATAGCATGGCCGGGGCCATGAAATCGCCCAAGATTTAATGGCCCCGTCCTGTTAGTTCATTGCGTCCCCTGGTCTCGTCTTCGTCCGCGCACCTACCTCGGACCATGGTTTGCGACACCCTGTGGACACCACGCGGTACCGAAGCCGCTGCTTCCTGAACCTCTCCCCGAGGTGCGCTCTGCCCAGGAAGGCGATGCGAATCCGGCCGCGGCGGCGAGAGCCTCCCAGGAGGCTCATAACGGCGAAAAAAGGTTGAGGTCGCATCCCTGAGATTGTCATCGCCTTTTGGCGTGTCAATCTTAGGGGCAGGGATACGCTCGAGGCTGGTAATCTGTGGGCGCCCCCGAGAGGAGGAGGAGGAGGAGGAGGAGGAGGAGGAGGAGGAGGAGGAGGAGGAGGAGGAGGAGGAGGAGGCGGAGGAGGAGGAGGAGGAGGAGGAGGAGGAGGAGGAGGAGGAGTGGCCTCTGTGGGGGCCCCCGAGAGGAGGACGAGGCGGACGAGCGCGCCCGGGCGGCCCTGCCCGAGCCGGCCGGCGCCTCGCCGCCCGCGGCCCCCGTGCGGGCCGCCGACGCCGCTGGCGGCGAGGCGGCGCCGCTGTCCAGCGGGCAGCTCCTGGCCGCCGCGCTGGAGCAGGCCCGCCGGCCAGGGTCGTGTATGGCCAGGACCCCAGGTAAGGGGACCCGGTGGCTGTCGACCCAGCCCGCCGCCGTGCCGAGGTAGCGTGCTGAAACTCCCTCCGGCCTGCGAGCCGCAGCCCCTGACCCAGACCGAAAGGGAACGGACAAAGACCGCAGCTGGCCGCGCCTGGCCGCCTTCGCGGGCGGGCGAGCGCAAGGCGAAGTCGCTGTGCTGCTGGAGGGGGGGACCCGGTTAGTGGTAGGGTCTGGGGGCCCTGAAATTGGCCAGGATCACTAAGCCAGGTTTGCCGGAACGGGCGTTTTTCGGGTGACGGCAGCTCCGGTTCGCGGAAATGGGGCGGGGGCGCGCCCCCGGTACAAATCATTAAACCAGGTTCCACTAAACCCAGTTCTGCCAACGCCCGACAGGGGAGGAGGTGGTACAATTCGGAGGTGGAGAGACCTCCTACCCTGACACGTCGATCAAGGAATTGGCCGTTCTCGGTTCGCGAGAGGGCGTCGCGGCCGTCATTTTTGCGGGTCCAGGTCCGTCGGTTTCGGTCCCAGGCCGTTTTCACGAAGTGGAGGTTTACGAAAGGGAGGTTTGTCCACCGCCGAACAGTCAACCCGCGCAGCAAGGATGAGAGTCGATTAGCGTCGACCAGCGTCGACCAGCGTCGATTTAGCGTGGGTTAGCGTCGGTTTGGCGTCGATTAGCGTTGATGCAGCGTCTTTTTCGCATTCAGTAGCGTCGATCCGCCAGAGCCAGCAAGATGCGATGGGGGGCTCCCATGGGCAGTAAGGTTGAGCGGCTTGCTATCACCGCCCGCCAAGCCACCCCAACCCAACCCGAAGGTCTCACTTTGCCTTTCCTTTCCAGTGTGGGGGGTGGGGGGGCGCCGGGGAGCAGTGGAAAAGCACCCGAAATTGGGGTCTTCGGGTTAGGTCTTGGGGAATTGGGGTGGTTTGGTAGGTAGTCATGAGGTTGCCCTTGCATCCTTCCCCTTCGGCCCATCCTTGGCCGCTTTCGCTGGCCGTGCCCCGCTCGCAAAGTGTCGGCATGACCGTCCGAGGCCCTTGTGTCCTCATCGCGCATCTTTCTTATGCGTGTTGCCTGTAGCGTTACCCAGACCTCCAACGTATTGTTGAATGTGTGATGCCGTCCAACAGCGACTCAGGATGCAAGACCGCCCATGGTCGGCAGCGGGCCCAGGGGGGAAGTGAGAAGGGGCGGGCCTTCTCAGAAGGCTCGGAAGTCCCCCCGGCCTTCTGAGAAGTTTGTATAAACCTTCCCCGAAAACACAGAAAATTTGTCAGAAGAAGCGGGGGGTCATGAGAAGTCCCGCCGCCTTCTGAGAAGGTCTTCTCCTTCTCATTTCCCCCCCCTCGCTCGCCGCCAACATTGGGGAAGGGTCCTCGGGACTTCCGGGGCCTCTGCTCAGTGAGAAAGCAATGCAATGGATCTCTGGGCGCTGCTGCCCTGGCCTCGTCGCCACGGCTGGATTCGCTTCAAAATCCTGGTCAGAACGCGCGGAGTTGTGCAACCCCTTCTACGCCAGGCTGGGCCTGATGTAACTCACACTGGCATCCGCTTATCACCCCCGTATCCGCTGTGGAATCCCCGCGGCGATCTCAGAGGAGTCCCCGTCCCCTTCCCTGGGGCCTGGGTTTCGCCCAGGATCTGTCTTGGAGGGCCCCGGGGCCCGAGTTCGGTCCCACACGCGCCCTCTTGTAGCGTGCGCGCAAAATCGTAGGTGCTCTCTGCCTGGCCAGGTCCATGAACGTCCAGGCCACTGAGATAGTAGCTCAAGGGGCGGCAGTCGAACAGGACCACACAGTCGGCCCGGATGAGTAGGTCGACCCTGCCGAGTCAAGGGTACCCTTGTGTCCTGTGCCTCGCGACCCATGCCTCCTGCACTCCTGTGGCAGTGTGCCCCTCGGAAAGGGCCTTACGTCCTCTCGCGTGTCCTCTCCAGTCAAGCCCGACCGTACCGATCAAGATGTCAGAACTCGGCATCGCTCGGACGTGTGCATTTTTCCTTCGGCGAGGACCATCGAGGAGCATCCTTGATCATTTGGCGAAAGAACCGCGCACATAACCGAAAAAAAAACACAGGGAATGGACGTCCCAGCGATGGCCAGAGAGTCTTCTGGCCCTCTGGCAGCATGTGCTCTGGCCACCACCCGCGGGGGGGGCAGGCGGCCGCCGGCCCGCCGGCGGCGGCGGCGGCGGACCCGGGGCAGCTGCTCGCCGCCGTCATGGAGCGGGCGGGGCTGCGCAGCGTGAGCCAGGCGCAGCGCCCCGCGAGCCCGGCGGGCAGCGACGGCAGCGAGGAGGGCGACGAGCCGCCGCTGCCGGAGGAGGACGGGAGAGGCTTAGGATTTAGGGCGCAGGTGGCCAATAGCACAGGAGTCTCGGCATCGCTCGGACGTGTGCATTTTTCATTCGGGCGAGGACCATAGAGGAGCATCCCTGATCATCTGGGGGAAAAACCACGCACGAAACCGACAAAAAGAACAAAGGGAATGGACGTCGAGCGATGGCCAGGTAATGGCCGACACCCCGCGCCCGAAGTCGTGGCCGAAAGTTGCAGGCCTCCGAGATGGGGTCGGAGTAGATGGGGCCGGAGGATCGCGCCGCATCGCCGATGCATCGCCGATTTATCCGCGATGCGGCGCGATCCCCCGACCCCATCTACTCCGACCCCATCTTGGAGGCCTCTAAAAACGTAGTGCAACCGAGCGCGTGACAAGCATTCTTACACCACTTTTTTTTCGAACCAAGATGGTCAGCCACACTCTGGCTCGGTCGGACCAAGTTTTGCGCCAGTTTCGGTCACACTCGAATGGAGTTTCGGGTAAAGTTTCGTTCGCTACACCCCCTGATAGAGACGAGGTTGCGTGAGGGGTTGGCGGCGTGGCGGCGCGCAGGTTTTTTTTTGCGAGCGGGGTGGGCTTTTAAGAAAGCGTATGGTATTCTTGGCAGGCAGGGGCCTCCTTCGAACCTCTCGGGGGCCTCTTCGGAGCGCTCTGAGGCGATCTGGGGGGCAGCTGTGGCCGCCCCCGGCGCCACTTTGTGCGGGCCGCCAAGGGGGGGCGGGGGGAGGGGGTGTCCGAGCCTCACGCAGGGACCACTCTTCGTTCAGCTGTGCCGACCCCCGCTCGGCGGCCTGCCATCGGGTGCCCCGCGATAATTCCTCGGCGCCCGATCGCCCGCAGAGCCCTTTGGCACCCTACGAGGCTGAGAGTCGACGAATGATGTGCCCCTAGATTTCTCATGGAAGAGTCATTATCGTACATGCCGGCTGTATCCGTGGAACCATAGAGATTGTCATGGGGCTGCCACTGATGGGACTTCTGTGGCTTCTGAGGCAAGATGTCTGGCCTCTTCCCAGTTTTCTCTGGGGTCCCGGCTTCTTCCTCCTCGTTCGGGCCGTCAAGATGCGGGCACACATCATCCCCCTCGAGCGACGCCCTCCAACTTCTTCTCCGCCTCTTTCTCCCTGGGAGCCGTCGAGAGCCGTCGAGCCGTCCAGAATGACTGTGGTGCTCCCCCCCTGGACCCCAAAGCCTTCTAGAATCAGTGTCCTCCGCCTCTTTCTCCCTCCCTCCGCCTCCTCTCCTTCTCTCCAGTTGTCTACCTGTTGCTCCGCCTGCTCATGTTCTTTCCTCGTGCTCTTCCTTTTCTTTCCTGCTGTTGTTCCTGCTTTCCTCCGCCTGCTGTTCCTTCTCCTTTCTTGTGATATTCCTTTTCCTCCTGCTCATCTTCCTGCTCATCCGCCACCCCCTCCTCCAACGTACGCAGTTCCCATTCTTCAACTGCGCATTCACGATCGGCTCCTTTTGGGAGTTCCAGGTCAGGATGGGCGGGAGGGGTAGGATGTCGGGTACGGCGCGAGCGCACCTAGTTTGTCCTTCACCCCTCTCTTCCCCTCCCTCCTCCCTCCCCCCCATTCCTCTCTACCTACCTCCTTCTTCCAACCCCCTTCCTTTCTCCTGTCCATACCTCCTACCGCCGAGATAGCGCACTTGTGGCGCACTTCTCACTAAAAGGGGGGCTCCAGTTTCAAGCTACCCCCCGCCCCTCCCTTGGAAACACGGCGGAGGGGCTTCCGAAGCTACCCCCTTCCCGGCTTCCATTATGTGGGCATTTTTTATCTGGGGGGTCCCTAGCCACAGGGGGGGGGGTTCAAAGCTACCTCCCACCTCCCCCCCTTTCCGGGTCCCAAGGTTAGCTTGGGCTTCCCGTTCAAGGGGGGAGAGGCTTCGGAAGCTACCCCCCCCTTCTTTTTCGCAGCCGAGATTGTTTTGCTAAGGGTGGGGGGGCTTCAAAGCTACCCCCCCATCCCTTTCAGGAGCCCAAGGCCAGCCCGGGCTTCTTTCAAAAGGGGAGGGGCTTCGGAAGCTACCCCGCCATTCCCCTTTCGCAGCTGAGATTGCCTTGCCAGGGGGGGCAGGGGGCTTCAAGGCTACCCCACCCTCCATCCTCTTCCGGAGCTCAAGGTTAACCCGGGCTTCCCTTCCAAAGGGGTGAGGGCTTCGGAAGCTATCCCCGCCTTCTTTTTCGCAGCTGAGATCGGCGATCTGGTGTTCGGCGTCGCCATGATTTTCGACGATCGCTTGGTATTCGGCGAATATTTGGGTGTTTGACGCTTCCTCGTCGCTTTCTGGAGCACTTGTTGGTGTTCGTCGGCTCTTCGGTTTTCGGCGTTCGATTGGTTTTCGGCGCTGGTTGGGTTTTGTTGCTTTCGGTGTCCAGTTGGTTTTCGGCGCCCTTTTTGTTGTCGTCGCTCTTTTGGGTTTTGGTGTTCAGCGTCCCTCTGGTGTTCGGTTTCCATTGATTTTCGGAGCTCTTTCGGTTGGCGCCTTCTGGGTCTTTGGCGCCTCCTTGGTGTTCGGTTGTTTTTTGCTGCTGTGCGCTCTTTTGGATTCCGGCGCGCATTTGGTTTTCGTCGCCCTTTGGTTGTCGACGGTCTTTTGGTTTTCGGAGCCTTCCTTTAGCCACAGGGGGGGAGGGCTTTCCAAGCCATTCTCCTCCTTTAGCCGAACAGGGAGGGAGGCGGGGGGAGGGCTTCCAGCAGGGATCGTCTAAGGGAAAGGGTCGTCCATGTGGTTTTCGGGGCCGTTCTGGTATTCGGCGCGTCTTTGGTTTTCGGCGTCGCTTTGGTTTTCGGCGATCTGTGGGTTCTTGAGGCATCGTTGGTTTTCGGGGTCCTTTTGGTTGTTGGTGCTCATGTGATTTTGGGCGCATTTTTTCTTTTCGTCGGTCCTTTAGGTTTTGGCGCTTCTTTGGTTCTCGCCATCTAGAGTTTTTGCTGGCGCTCTCTCGATGTTCGGCGAATCGAATGTTTTCACCGTCTGACAGGTTTTCGAAGTCCTCTTAGTTTTCGGCGCTCTTTTGGTTTCGGCGCTCCTTTGGTTTTTGGCGCATTTGTCGTTTTCCGCGCCGTCTTGGTTTGTTCGGGTTTCTTTGATTTCCGACGACTCTTGTAGTTTTCGGCGCTCTTTCTGTTTGCGGCGCTCTTTGGTTTTCGACGCCCTGTTGCTTGTCGGAGCATCTCTTGTTTTCGGCGTCCCTTTGGTTTGCGGCGCAGCTCTGTTTATCGGCGCTCTTTTGGTTTTCGGCGCGTTGTTGGTTATTTGGTTTCCGGCGCTCTTTTGGGATTCGGCGCCTTTTTGGTGTTCGGTGTCCTTTTGGCTTTTGTTGTTCTGAGGCCCCTTGCGAAGAGGCAGGTACGGCCCGTGTCTTCTGGGGGACGTCTCCGCGGTCCGCTCAGCTCTACGCGGCTCCACTCCCACCTTCCTCCTCCCTCCCTCCCTCTCTCTCTCTCTCTCTGTCTCTCTCTCCATTCCTCCCTCCTCCCACTCCCCCCAGGGCTCGTTTCGATCCCTCCGATTCGATTTGTTCGATTTCGATGGCTCCCGATTCCGATTCGATTCGAATTCGGAGTCCGCTTGCGATTTCCTCCATGGACGCAGACTGGCCTGCCGATTTCCGCCGATTCGACTTCTCCCGACTCGGCTGCCAGTTTCCGCCGAACCGATCCATTACGATCGCCGATCCGACTTCTCGATTCGATTCTGGGGTCTCCTGCCTTCCTCCCACCGCCCTCTCTCCTCCTCCCTCGAGGAGGAGGAGGAAACGCAGGAGGAGGAGGAGGAGCAGGAGGAGCAGGAGGAGGAGGAGGAGGAGGAGGAGGAGGAGGAGGCTAGGCTCCCACTCCCCCCGCCAGGACCTGCCGCCTGAGCCACCGCCTGAGCCCGAGGTCTCCTCCCTGGTCAAGGCGGTGCAGCCCCGCGGCCGGCTTGGCCGCCCCTTGGGGGGCGAGGGGGAGAGGGGCAGACCCAGGAGCAGGCAGGAGGCCGTTTTTTGAATCGGCGTTCACCCGAAACCTCGAGCGAAAAACGGAGTGTGTTTCGTTCTCGGCCCACGAAACACCTGCACGAAGTCCGCATCGAAACCCGGCACGAGATTCTCCAGGACCGTCCGGGCCCATCCCATTGTTTTTTTCGAACGGAATTCGCTCTGCTAGGTTGGAGACCGTTTTTTTTGAATCGGCGAGAGCCCGGCCTATCCCGGGGGGGGGGGAGGGGGCCGGCCGATAACCTAATCCTCGCGCTGTGGGCAGCCCTGCATATGCCCGCGCCCCCCCCCTCTCCCCCCCTGCGGACCTGCACAACCGGCAAGGGTAGGTTATCCTGGGGAGAGGGGGGGGAGGGGGGGCAAGCCGGATGACCCGGGCTATCACCCGACCCTGAAAAACAGCCTTTGGTGTTGTTGGAAATCGGGAGGCTCGAGGTTCGAAGGTTCAAAAGGTTTTTGACCCTAGTAGCGTTTTGTTGGAGGGGTCTCGGAGCCGCAAACATCAGTAGAGGAAAAAGCACACAGACACAATGAATCGTCGATTCCCAGAAAATGCAAGAAAATATGGGAAGTGGGGGGAAGACGAAAACCCAGAAAATATTTGAAAATATAGGGAATCCTGTTAATTGTGTGTATTTCTTTGTGTGTCCCAGGGCCCCTTCAAAACAAGAGCCGCAGAGGAGTCCCACAGGGGGAACGGGGAGCCCCAGCCCGCCCGGTCCTGCAGCCGCTTCGCGGGAGACTTCCTCACAAGTCGGACTCGTGTTCTCGCCACACTGCCGGATGCATTCTTGGTCCGAGCAGCCGCGGCCCATGGCAAGAGCAGGCTGAGATGCACACGGCCGTGATCTCACCCCTGTCCCAGCTGCGTCTCTGCTTTATCAGGGCTTCTTGGCCGTGCTTCTCCTGCTCCTCGACCCACCTCTTCACCCCTGCTGCGTCTCTTCTTTATCAGGACTTCTTGGCCGTGCTTCTCCTGCTCCTCAACCCGCCTCTTCACCCTTGCTGCCTATGAGGGTGCCTTGCTGGTGTAAGGTGAGCGTTTCTGCTTCTGCTGTGCCTCTGGGGGCTTCGTCGTTGCCATGGCCAGTCCCGCCTCGACCCTTCTAGTCAGAACGCACGTCAGAGCACGCCCAGGGCGCGACGTTCGACTCCTCGACCCCGAACCTCTTCGCGTACGGGCGCCTGAGACCCATGTGGTCCTGGCGCAGAACCCACAGGCGAGTTTGCCCTGTCGCGGGCCCCGGGCCCTCACAGATCGCTCCAGCCTGAGATCCTCCTCTGAATGCTGGGGTTCAGGGCTCTGGCCGAGGGTTCTACGATGTTTTTTTTTTTTGTCCGTTGCGTCGGACCTGAGGGCCGCCCCAGATCTCCGACGACGTGAATGTGTCGGGTGCTCTTCCTCGATCTCGGCCCCCGGGGGCCCGTGCTCGGGCCCCGGGGCCTTCAAAATGGATCCGACTGCTCAGGCTCGACCCCAGACCTCCGGCCGCTCCAGTTTGTCCGATGCGTTTTGGGCCCCCGGAGGTCTGGGCAACTTCCCTACACGGGTTATGATGTCCTTTAGCTTCTTGATCACCAGAAAGAATTTCGAGCACCAGGGAAACACCGAAAGTGGAGGGTTTTCACGTGTCGGGCCCTGGGAGGCGACACTCACTCGACACTTTTTTGATCTTTCTCTGGGTGCTCGAATTTTTGTTCTGGGATGTGGCCCTCAAGGGCGCAACACGATACCTGGGGTCTGCTGCTCGTCCTGCAGTCGTTCTCGTTGGCGATCCCGGGGTCCGGCGAGGCCCCCGGTTCGGAGGCCGCGAACGGCCGAAGACGGGCCGCTCCAGGGTCACGGCGGAGCCTCGGGTCTCTGGAGCTGCCAGGCGGCTCCTCCCCCCCCCAGACCCCCGACGTCGTGAGAAGCTCCCGACGTCGGCCCCCCGAAGTCTGGAGACCTCCCTGGGACCGGTTTTTCACCCCGAGTCGTTATCTGACGCTCCCGAGGCCCGGCGAGGGCCTCCGGAGGCCGAACATGGTCAGAAACCTTCGTCGTGAGTTTCTCGCGACGTCGGAGATCTGGGCCCGCACACCTGCTGGCTCTCTGGGCGGCTGGCCGGCCGCGGGCCCAGCTGGCGACGGCCGCGGACCTGCGGCTCGTGGGCGAGATGGCGCCGCAGGGCCTGCAGTGGCAGTACCCGCTCTGCGACGCGGAGCGGCGGTGCTTCGTCGGGCAGCTGCCAGGCGAGCCCCCAGGGGCAGGGGGGGAGCTTGGGCTCGCCGCCATGGGGGGGGGGAGGCAAGCGGAAGGGGGGGCTATCGGGGGTGGACAGATCTCCTACCCTGACACGTCGATTCAGGAATTGGCCGTTTTCGGTTCGCGAGAGGGCATCGCGGCAGTCATTTTTGCGGGTCCAGGTCCGTCGGTTTCGGTCCTAGGCCGTTTTCACTAAGGGGAAGTTTGCTAAAGGGAGGTTTGTCCATCGCCGAGGCTATGAAGCGGATGCCAATGTTGTGGTATTTGGCCCGACCTGGCTTAGGATTGAGACACAAGTGCCACGTCAGGCGTCGTCGGGATGCACAACGCCGCGGGGTGGGCGGAGCCTGTGTGTCACCCACTTCTGAGCCAGGTTGGACCAGCTTGAGCCTACCTCTTCCCCCTTCTTCCTCCTGCCTCATTCTCCGCCATCGTTCGCTTGCCCTGCTTCATGCAGGAGCGATCAGCCCCAAGCGGTGCAAGCAGCTGTTCGACCTCGTGTGCTACGGTATGGACCAGATCGAGTGGGATACCCCCATCAAGCCTGAGAAGGGCAAGGCGCACATGACGCGGCGGACTAAGTGGATGGCAGCACCTGGCTGCAGGTGCACCTATAAGTACGGCGGCCTTAACTTCCAGGGCCGCGAGGACAAGACCGTCATTGTGAAGCCGGTGGAGTTCCCGGATTGGATGTACCAGGTCATGGAGGAGGTGATGCCGTTGTGTGGGCTGGAGCAGCGAGCCAGCTGGCCCAACAGCTGCAGTCTCAACCGCTACTCGCCTGCGGTCGGCATAGACTGGCACACCGACGACACGCCCATCTTTCAGGTGGGGCTGGATGGGAATGGGGAGGGACTCTGAGATCCTGGCGTTCGAATTTTTCGCCCTGGGCGTTTTCGCCCGGTTGTGGGACTTGGGGCCATCACAGGTCGGTCTTGCTCGAAAAAGAATGCAGCAGAAATATGGTGATTAGGACTTCATTTGTGATGTTTCGCGATGTTGCACTTTAACACAAGCAACGGATATCTGGGGGGGGGGCTGGGAGGCCGATGCGCGACGTGTCGGAATGATCCCCAAGACGATTGGACGGCATTTGGCATTGACCAAGGAATCGCACACCAGTATGTCAAGCGCGTAACATGCTGAACAGTACATCTACCTGAAGCGCCGCTGCATCGAGGTCCTTCTGTATGGGGGGGCACCAGGAACCCATCCTGGAAAGAGTGCTTTTTGTGGTCGCCTCGGCCGAGCAGTTATGCACCCCCTACCCTCCTGATATAGGAGGTGAAGGGTTTCGATTCCCCGTCCTCCACCACTCTGGGTGAAACGGGGGAGGGAGTTGAAACCGTGATGACCGCCCCTCGCGCCTGAGCTAGGGGGCTTCAGTCCTCCGCCCATGTTCGCGCAGCAAGCGATGACACCGCCGACGCCGCGCCGCGACGACGACGACGACGACGACGACGACGACGACGACGACGACGACGACGAACGACGACCGACGACCGACGACCGACAACGACGACGGCGGCGATGACCCCTGCCGACAACGACAAGCCGGACTCGCTTTAATTTCTTGCCCGCCTGCTCTCCCGCCCGACCCGCCTGTCAGGGTCCGACCGCTGAGTTTTTTCGAAAGGCCTCCCGCCACTACCGCCCACCCCGCCCGACCCACTTGTTGGGGTCCGCCCGCCTGGCCCGCCCGTTGGGGCCCGCCCGGCTGCTTACATGAACGTGCCCCTACCTGCCTGTTTTACTGGCCCGCCTCCCCGACACGCCTGCCCGTTGGTGTCCGCCCGCCCACCCCGCCGGTGTCCGCCTGCCCGGCCCTACCGTTCTGGCCAGACCGTTCGCTTGAGTGACGGCTTGAATGTCCCGCCCGCGTCGTCGTCGACGGTCGTGCAATCGTGGCCGTCGTTCGTCGTGATCGCAGTCGTTCGTCGTCGCTGTTGATCGTTATCGACGTCGACGTCGTCGTCGTCGAGGTCACCGTCGGCGTAGCGGCCGTCGTCGTCGTGGGTGTCGGCGTCCATGGCGAGGCGTCGTGGTCGGCGCCGTCGTCGTCGTCGTCGTCGTCGTCGTCGTCGTCGTCGTCGTCGTCGTCGTCGTCTTGGGTGTCGTCCTCGAGGTCGCCGTCTGCGTCGTCGTCCTCCTCGTTGTCGTGGGCGCCGGCGGCGTCTGCTGGCGCGGAACGGTGGCTCAGTCCACCTTTCTCTTATATCAAGGGGGGAGAGGTCCCCGCGGTCTGAACCACCCAACCCCACCTTAGCCTGGGGGTCGAATGGCGAGGAGGTGGGGTGGTGGGGTCCTCCTGGTTCCGCAGAAGAGGTTCCTGTTATGTTTGTTTGTGGGGAGTCTTCCTGGTCTTGCCAGTTCCCAAAGCTACTGTTTTGCGCCAATGTCCGTGAAGCGCGCTCCATCCTACATTTGCTCCACCATGTCTTTGGCACAATGGTTCCACCGAGTTCTCCTGATAAGGCTCGGCGCAGCCATCTTTGAGCCAGTGCCGCTTCGGAAGCAGATTGTGTGGTCCTTTGACGCTACGGTTCCATCATGGGCTGGTCTTGTTGGGCTGCAGTCCCCTGGGGCTATCGGCTATCGACCCCTCCCCTGGGACAAGCCTCTGACCCCGCGTTGTCTTTTGACAATCCCTGGGGCCAGAAAAGGCCAGGAACACCGAAACTTGCGGAGAGCATCTGTCTCGCTGGAGTCCCCTGGAGATCTCGGCCCCTCCCTCCCGGGCAAGGTTTTCTTTCAGAGTTGTCCTTTGACAGCCTGGGGGCCAGATACGACCGCAAAGACGCCGAGACTGGCCAAACGCCTCTGGCGCGCCTGTCTAGCGTCGCCAGAGGTCTTGGTCACCTCCCCACAGCTCCCTCAGATGTGGAAGAAAAAACCGAAAGAGCGTGTTCTACCGCTGCTGACGGAAAACCGGGGGGGCCCCCCCCCTCCGGAAAACCGGGGGGGGGTCACTACCGTGGTTGGACCCCCCCCCCCCTCCTCCCCTCCGAAACACCGGGGGGAGGTCACTACCGGTTCGAACACCCCTCCCCCTCTCGAAAACCAGGGGGAGGTCACTACCGGTTCGAAGCCCCCCCCTCCCTCCCCCCCGTTCGCCGCGGGGCCGGGAAGAGTGGGGACATTGACACACTGCTGGGGGCACTGGTGGGGACAGCGGGGACAATGGTGGGAACAGTGGGGACAGTGGGACAGTGGTGGGGACGGTGGTGAACAATGGTGGGAACAGTGGGGACAGTGGGACAGTGGTGGGGACGGTGGTGGTGGGGACAGTGGTGTGGGGACAGTGGGAATGTGGTGGAAACAGTGGGACAGTGGAGGGTACAGTGGTGGTGGGGACAGTGGTGAGCACGGTGGCAAGGCCGGCGGTGGGACAATGGGATAGAGGTACAGTGGGGACAGTGGTGGGGACAGTGGCGACAGTGGTGGGAACAGTGGGACAGCTCAGTGGGACGGCGGAGGAGACAGTGGGACAGTGGGGACAGTCGGGCAGTGGAACGTTAATAGTGGTGGGGACAGTGGGGACAGTGCGACAGTGGTGGGTGCACTGGTGGGGACAGTAGGGACGGTGGTGGAACCAGTGGGGACAGCGGTGGTGAGGACAGTTGTGCTGTTGTGCTGGGGACAGCAGTGGGGGATGTGGTGCGGACGGTGGTAGGGACCGGGAGTCGTTTGATGGCAGTGAGCGTGGGGGGGGGAGGGGTTCGAACCGGTAGTGCCCCCCCCCGGTTTTCGAGGTTGGGGAGGGCTTCGAACCTGTAGTGACCCCCCCGGTTTTCGAGAGTGGGGGAGGGAAGAGGTTCGAACCGGTAGTGACCCCCCCGGTTTTCGAGAGGGGGGGGAGGGGAGGGGTTCGAACCTGTAGTGACCCCCCCCGGTTTTCGGGAGGGGGGTGGGGGGGTTAGGGGAGGGGGGGGTTTTGCCGGGGAAGGGGGGGGGGGGGTTCTTCAGCAGGGGCGGGGGGATTTTCAGAGGGGGGGGGGGAGGAGGGACCCTCGGGCTCCGGAGGAAGAGGGGGGGGGAATTTTCCAGAGTAAAGCGGCGGTGGACCACGCTCTCTAAGAAGCACATCCAACGATCAGCTTTTTCCGAGCAGTCCGATACCTGAGGCGTTCCAGAAAGGGCTTCGCTTTCGAAGGACCGATGATGATGTTGCAGCCTTGACCACCAGAAAGAATTTCGAGCACCAAGAGAGTACCGAAACTGGAGGGTTTTCGCGTGTCGGGCCCTGGGAGGCGATGCTCGTTCGACAGACACAGTTTCGCTATTTCTCTGGGTGGTCGAAATTCTTTCTGGGACGTGGTCCTTAAGTACGATGGGGGCAACATACAGTTGTGGAGGACGATCAATGGAGAATGGAGAGGAAGCATGTTGCCAAATAATTTCCAGATGTCTAAGTCATGTAGAAAAACATGCTTAGAACCTGTTTCCTACCTTTTCAAACACATGTTCAAACTCAGTGATAGGACTGTTAGGGGGTCCATTGCCGTGGCATCCACAAACGTCAAGGGATGGAGAGGATGCCACCTCTGCCTCGGCGGAAGCCGGCAGAAGCGAGGCGAGGGCGGCCCCGCCGGCGGAGAGGGGCCGGCGGAGGCTGGCGGAGCGACCCCGAAGCGATGCGCACCGCTTTGGCGCAGGGCTTCCGGAGCTGTCCACGCTGTTCAGCGCTAATTCTTCGAAAGCTCCTTGATTTGTTGGGGGCCAGGATCCTTTCATTTCTGATTGTTGTATCCTGGGCCTCTTCCTGGCCACCAGGGGGGCAGGAACGATTGGAAACGAGCACAATTAGAAATGAGCACGATTAGAAATGAGCGAGCGGTCCACGCGTCCTCCGCATCTCAGGGTGCCAACCTCCGAGGCGGGAATTTGTACATGACCACCGCCTGGAGGGTCAGTTTTCGGAGCCGCGGCAGGCGGATGGGGACATATTCGGGCCCCCGGGGGCCGAAGTATATCCACATCCACCGCCCGCTATGGCATCAGGACGTCGGTTCCCAGGCGGTGGATATGGATAAATCCCCGCCTCGCACAACCTAGCAGAGGCTGTTTTTTTTTAGGGTCCGGCGATATCCTGGGTTATCGGGCTTGCCCCCCTCCCCTCCCACCCCACCTCGGGATAACCGAACCTTGCCGGTTGTGCAGGTCCGCGGGAAGGGGAGTGGGCGCGGGCATGTGCAGGGCTGCCCGCAACGCGAGGGTTAGGTTATCGGCCGGCCTAACCCCCCCCCCCGGGATAACCCGGGTTCTCGCCGAGTCAAGAGAAACGGTTTCCAACCGAGCAGAGCGGATTCCGTTCGAAAAGAGCAATGGTCAGGAGGGAAACAAAAAAACACACAGACACAATTAATCGGCGATTCTCCAGAAAATATGTGAAAATATGGGAAGTGGGGGGGAAAACAGAAACCCAGTAAATATGTGATTGCCCTGTGACGTACCCAACCCACCTGTATCATGGGAAACGACGAGTTGGCCGAAACTTGCATGGACAATCAAATTGCAGGATCCGTTGTTTGATCTGTAAGCTACTTGGGACACGCGCCTATGGAATGATGCGCAGGAGAAGCGTACAAGAACGATGGGGCGACAACTACAGGCTCGAAGAGGACATGGGGAGTCGGGAACGAAGAGCAGGAGAAATACGTGCGGGAAACCCACTGTGCTGGGCCCCCCAGCAGGCCTCGACAGTGGCGACAGTTTCACAGATCGCAGCCCCCCAGGGATTGCGAGGTCTAGTATGAGTCTGCGGTAAGTGCCCACTGCGTTGGGCCCCTCAGCAGCCCTCAAAAGTAACGACAGTTTCACAGATCGCAGCCCCCCAGGGACGGCGAGGTCTAATCTGAGTCTGCGGTGAATACCTTCTGTGCTGTGCCCCTCAGCAGCCCTCGAAAGTGACAACAGTTTCACAGATCGCAGCCCCCCCAGGGACGGCGAGGTCTAATCTGAGTCTGCGGTGAGTACCCAGTGTGCTGGGCCCCTCAGCAGCCCTCGAATGTGGCGACCGTTTCACAGATCGCAGCCCCCCAGGGACTGCGAGGTCTAATTTGAATGTGCGGTAAGTACCCACTGTGCTGGGCCCCCCAGCAGGCCTCGAAAGTGGCGACAGTTTCACAGATCGCAGCCCCCCAGGGACGGCGAGGTCTAAATTAAATTTGCGGTGAGTGCCCACTGTGTTGGGCCCCCCAGCAGGCCTCGAATGTGGCGACAGTTTCACAGATCGCAGCCCCCCAAGGATGGCGAGGTCTAATTTGAGTCTGCGGTGACTCCCCACTGCGCTGGGCACCCCAGCAGGCCTCGAAAGTGACGACGGTTTCACAGATCGCAGCCCCCCAGGGATAGCGAGGTCTAATTTGAATCTGCGGCGAGTGAGTACCCAGTGTGCTGGGCCCCCCAGCAGGCCTCGAACGTTGCGACAGTTTCACAGATCGCAGCCCCCCAGGGATGGCGAGGTCTTATTTGAACCAACGGTGGGTACCCAGTGTGCTGGGCCCCCCAGCAGGCCTCGAACGTTGCGACAGTTTCACAGATCGCAGCCCCCCAGGGATGGCGAGGTCTTATTTGAATCAGCGGTGGGTACCCAGTGTGCTGGGCCCCCCAGCAGGCCTCGAAAATGGCGACAGTTTCACAGATCGCAGCCCCCCAGGGATGGCGAGGTCGAGTCTGAATTTGCGGTGAGTACTTAGTGTGCTGGGACCCCTGGCATGCCTCGGAAGTGGCGTCAGTTTCGCAGATCGCAGCCCCCCAGGGATGGCGAGGTCGAATCTGTGGGTACCCACTGTGTTGGGCCCCTCAGCAGGCCTCGAAAGTGGCGACAGTTTCACAGATCGCTGCCCCCCAGGGATGGCGAGGTCTAATTTGGGTTTGCGGTGAGTGCCCACTGTGCTGGGCCCCCCAGCAGGCCTCGAAAGTGGCGACAGTTTCACAGATCGCAGCGCCCCAGGGATGGCAAGGTCTAATTTGAATCCGCGGTGACTACCCACTGTGCTGGGCCCCCCAGCAGGCCTCAGAAGCGGCGACAGTTTCACATATCGCAGCCCCCCAGGGATGGCGAGATCTAATTTGGGTTTGCGGTGAGTGCCCACTGTGCTGGGCCCCCCAGCAGGCCTCACAAGTGGCGACAGTTTCCCAGATCGCATCCCCCCAGGGACGGCGAGGTGCAATTTCAATCCGCCGTGTGTACCCAGTGTGCTGGGCCCCCCAGCAGGCCTCGAAAGTGGCGATAGTTTCACAGATCGCAGCCCCCCAGGGATGGCGAGGTGCAATTTCAATCCGCCGTGTGTGCCCAGTGTGCTGGGCCCCCCAGCAGGCCTCGAAAGTGGCGACAGTTTCACAGATCGCTGCGCCCCAGGGATGGCGAGGTGCAGTTTCAACCCGCCGTGTGTACCCAGTGTGCTGGGCCCCCAGCAGGCCTCGAAAGTGGCGACAGTTTCACAGATCGCTGCCCTCCAAGGGACGGCGAGGTGCAATGTCAATCCGCCGTGGGTACCCACTGTGCTGGGCCTCCCAGCAGGCCTTGAAAGTGGCGACAGTTTCACAAATCGCAGCGCCCCAGGGATGGCGAGGTGCAATTTCAATCCGCCGTGTGTACCCACTGTGCTGTGCCCCCCAGCGGGCCTCGAAAGTGGCGACAGTTTCAAAGATCGCAGCGCCCCAGGGATGGCGAGGTGCAATTACCATCCGCCGTGTGTACCCACTGTGTTGGGCCCCCCAGCAGGCCCCGAAAGTGGCGACAGTTTCACAGATCGCAGCCCCCCAGGGATGGCGAGGTGCAATTACCATCCGCCGTGTGTACCCCCTGTGCTGGGCCCCCCAGCAGGCCTCGAAAGTGGCGACAGTTTCACAGATCGTAGCCCCCCAGCTGGCACGCAGCGACGAGCGAGGCGAAAGGCAAGGGGGAAGAGAGGGATGGGAGGGGGTGGGAAGGAGACGCGCGAGCAGTGCTCTATTCAAAACAAGAACCCAACGCAGGAGGGTTGGGGAAAAAAATGGGAATCCTTTTATTTGTGTGTAGTTATTTGTGTGTGTGTGTCCTAGGGCCCCTTCACAATGGGATGGGCCTGGACGGTCCTGGAGAACCTCGGGCCGGGTTTCGATGCGGATGTCGTGCGGGTTTGTTTCCTCGGCCCAGAACGAAGGCCACATAACATCCACGTGATTTTCATTCCGTTTTTCGCTCGAGGTCTCGGGGTTTTGCACTGACAGGAATCCAGGCGACAATCCGCTACAGCACGTCTGCAAGGCCGGTGCGGTGATTGCTGGAGCTGTCCACGTGTCCTCATCCATGGTTCGGCTTCGTCGTTCGGTGTGTGGTGCGAAGGGTTTCGTTTGCGGGGGTGCTTGTCACATGAGGGTGCTTCCCCCGCCCTGCTACAGCGGGCACGTCAAACACGAGATTGGCCCTCCAGCAGGGCCTCCCCCTGCCCCTCATCATCCCCCTGCCCAAAAGAGGAGGAGGAGGAGGAGGAGGAGGAGGAGGAGGAGGAGGAGGAGGAGGAGAGGGAGGAGGAGGAGCAGGAGGAGGAGGAGAAGGAGGAGGAGGAGGAGGAGGAGGGAGCTCTGGGGCACGTTAAGTCGTGGCCGCAGAAATCGACGAATAATGTGCCCCAACATTTCTCATAGTAGGATTTGTGCTATTAGGTGTCTGTACACAGCCCTGCCCTGCCAGACTCCGTCATCAGGTGTGCGGTGAAAGGTTTCGCTTGCAGGGGTGCTCATCATGATGGTTAGGTGTTCGATCATGGACCCCCTGGTTGCGCCGAGGATCGCCAGACAAGCTTCTGCGCCGAAGACCGGCAGACAAAGCCGACGACCCCGCCCAAACCCGCCGAGGACCGTCAGAAAACCGCCGAAGTCCGCCGAAGATTGCCCGAGGCCGATTAGTCGCACGGAGTCCATGGCCGAATACGTAGATGTGGTGGTTCCTCCGACCACCTTTCGCACACCCTGCACATCGCGCCCGCCAGGCCCACAGTGTGCTGGTGCTCCCCTGGGGGTCCCGCCTCGTGTCTTCGAGGAATGACGGCTGCACGCCGCGGCCGTCAGGTCCCAGAGTGTGCGGGTGCTCCTTTGGCGGTCTCGGGCGTGGATCGCTCGGATCAGAAACAAGGAGGAGGAGCAAGAGGAGGAGGAGAAGGAGGAGGAGGAGGAGGAGGTGTGTTGAGGGGGGTCGCTCGTGGGGCTGCTTGTCTCGAGGGCAGCTCCTCTGCCCCTGCCACTCCCAGGGCATGACCCGGGACTGCTGCATCATCTCGCTCTCGCTGGGCGCCAGGCGCCCCTTCGAGCTTCGGCGGGCCACCTCCGACAGGTACGCGCCGATCGACTGCAGGCCCTCGCTGCTCGTCGCCGCCGCCGCCGTCGCCGCCGCCGTCGTCGTCGCTGTCGTCGTCCCAGGCGTGCACGCTTCGGGGAGACATCACGCCGGACAGTTTGGCGCTCTTTTCGGCCTCTGGCCTCCAGGGGGCCCTCGCCAGGCCGCCAGGCCCGAGGGCCGTCCAGAAACGAAGCGGGATGCACGGCCGGCCCTGGGGGAAGGGTTGTCGGGATTGACGAGGGCCCCGCATGTCTGGGGCAGTAGGCATCGCCGTCCGTCGCCTCCGCATGAGGGATGAGGACGAGAGGAGGTGGGAGGGAGGCCAGAGGAGGAAGATGAGGAAATAGGTATGTAGCACCCCACAGTTGTGGACAAGAGCGAGGAGGTGGGCGCGGGTGGGGGTCACGGGCAGGTCGCGGATTGGTCGCGGGGTGGGTCGCGGGCAAGGTCGCAGGTGGGTGCGTCGTGGAAGGGGTCGCCGGCGAGGGCGACGACAACAGCAACAATATGTCCAACAGTGTTCGCTCTTCTTTGCTCGCGTGTCACTCAGCATGTATATCCCAAACCCTGGATACCCACCCTCTTTGTCTTTGTCACGTGTAGTTGACGCAGCCCCTCCAGCAGGAAAGCGGAGGGCGGACGTGAGGGACAATGGGGAGAGAGAAGGATGGAGCACGAGAGAGATCAGAAGGAGGGGGTTGAGAGCAGGAACGCAAGCGGCAGAACCAGACTGGCGGATCGGGCGGGCGGATGCCAACGGGCGGGTCGGTCGGGCGGGCCAGGACGGCCAGGTCCAGCGGGCGGGGCGCTGAAGCATCTGTCCTGCATGATTCGCGAGGAGGTCTCGAGCGACATCGCGATTCCGAAATATGTTGTGAGGAGGTTCAGAGCGAGACTCGGATTGCTGAGCGTCGAAGGCGGAGCGTTTCAATACATTGCGGGGAAGTGCCACGCGAGAGCGCTATTCATGGGTAAGCTGTAAGGAGGTCCTACAGGAGAGCGAGATTTTGAGTAATTGTGAGGAAATATCAGGCGGGAGCCGCTGTTGTTGTAAAACATGGGCCAGAGGGCCAGTCTGAGCCTCAAGAGTTTCCTGTGAACGAAACAGGGTTCGAGCCCTAGTAGGGGCACGTCAATTGGAAAACGCACGGGTTACTGGAGGGAAGGGAGGGATCAGTAGAATTTGTTTTTTTAACAATGAAACACCAATCGTTTTTCCCTACCTAGGCTGTGCCTAGAAGGGTTCTGACTCTCTTAGCTTAAAGGGGCCGGGCAGTGCAAAGCGCCCCGGGCGGTTCCCCCAGTCCCCGCCCCGCGGTTCCCCCCAGTCCCCTGGGAGCTTTAGCTTTAGCTTTAACTTTAGCTTTAGCTTTAGCTTAGCTTTAGCTTAGCTTTAGCTTAGCTGTAGCTTAGCTTTAGCTTAGCGTTTCGCTTAGCGGTTCGCTTAGCTTTTCGCTTAGCGTGTCGCTTAGCTTTAGCTTAGATCTAGCTTAGCTTTAGCTTAGCTTGAGCTTAGCTGTAGCTTAGCTTTAGCTTTAGCTTAGCTTTAGCTTAGCTTTAGCTTAGCTTTAGCTTAGCGTTTCGCTTAGCTTTTCGCTTAGCGTTTCGCTTAGCTTTAGCTTAGACTTAGCTTAGCTTTAGCTTAGCTTGAGCTTAGCTGTAGCTTAGCTTTAGCTTTAGCTTAGCTTTAGCTTAGCTTTAGCTTAGCTTTAGCTTAGCTTTAGCTTAGCTGCTTAGCTTTAGCTTAGCTTTAGCTTAGCTTTAGCTTAGCTTTAGCTTAGCTTTAGCTTAGCGTTACTGTTACTACTAATGCTGCTTTCCTAGGGGTTCCAACTCCTAGGTAGGGTCGCACTGGGATAATACTAATGCTCGCTCTCATGTGCTCGAGTGTCAAGTAACATGTGTCTCCCAAACCCTCGAGTCCCGCCTTCTTCGTGTTCGACCGTGCCCCCCTTGGCGCAGCCCTTAGAACAAAAATATGTGGGAGACGTCACAAAACATGGAGCGAAGAGGAGAGGAGTGCGGGAAGGTGCGGAAAAGGCAATGGGCAATGGGGGACGGAGGAGGACGGCGCACGAACGCTCTTCCTCCTCTCCTCTTCATCCTCCTCCTCTTCCTCCTCCTCCTCCTCTTCCTCCTTCTCCCTTCTCCTCCTCCTCCTCCTCCTTCTCCTCTTCCTCCTCCTCCTCCTTGCATTGAATGTTGCATTTTATGCGGGAAGTTCGGAGCACGAACGAGATTCGCAGGAGGGGGGTTCGGAGGAGAACGAGTGGCAAACACCATGCGGGCCGGTCGGGCGGGCCGACCCGAACGGGCAGGTCGGGGGCGGGCGGGCCGAGACGGCATGGTCGAGCGGGGGGTCGTCGCCGAAGCTCGAGTCCTGCGCGAATCGCGCGGGAGTCTCGAGCGAGAGCACGACCCCCGAGTAAATCGGGAGGAAATCCAGAGCGAGACCGTGATTCTTCAGTGTCGAGGCGCTGCGTCTGTAGAAGTTGCGAGGCGAGGGCGCGATTCTAGGATAAATTGTGGGAGTTTCCCGCGCGAGAGCGCGATCTTGAGTAAACTGTGAGGCCGTGCCAGGCAGAAGCTGCTGTAGCGGTAAGCCAGGGGCCGAAGACCCAGTCTGTGCCTAAAGAGGTTCTCTTGCAGAAATGGGTGCGAGCCCGTGGAGGAGCACCTCCATCGACAACAACACAGTGGGCGCCGGAGGAGGGACTCCCCTACTAATATTCATTCTTCAGAAATTACAGTTTGGCAGCAACAGCTACAATCATTTCAAGACCGTTCCCTCTCAGCTGCTCGCTTTGCAAATAGCATATATATATCACAAACCCCCGATACTCGCCGTTTTGGTGTTCGATCGTGCCCCCTTGGAGGGATAGCCTCCTTACCTGCCACGTGTAACTTGGCCAGCCCTGAAAGCAGGAAGGGCAGAGATAATTGACAAGGGGGAGAGCGAGAGGAAGGGAGTGGAGGAAGGAACGGAGGAGTGAAGAGGGCAAGAGGGATTGAGTGAGAAAATTGAGGATGCGAGGGATTAGCAAGAGGCATTCGCAAGTGGGAAGTTCAACGGGGTCTCAGGGAGTTCAACGGGGTCTCAGACGAGGGTGCCTAAGAAGAGGGCGCAGTCCCAGAGCGCCGAGAAAGCGATTCGTAAATCGAGAATAAGGAAGTCTCAGGCGAGAGGGCGACTCATTTGAGAGAGTGCCAGGAGTTCTCCACCGAAAGCACGATTATTCATTCCAGTGCGAGAAAGAGTCAGGCAAGAGCCGTTGTTGTGGTAAACCAGGGGCCAACGACCACGTCTCTTTTCCGAGAGTTGTCTGTTTTTAAAGAGGGTGGGAGCATTGGGAGTGGCACTTCAGTCGGAACACACGTATGGGCAACGGAGGGTGATCCACAGCGGTCGTTCTTGAGCAATGACGTTCCACAACAGGAATCTTCACTGCGAAAGCCCACTGCAGCAGGGCACCCAGGGATGGTGTGAGACCGTTCGGCCCCCATCTTTCTGATGAGTGGTGGGGGTGACGGAAGAGCAGAAGGATGGCTTTCGGGTGTTCGAGGGGGGTCCTTTCCCTCGTCGGCCTCTTGGTCGTGCATTCCTCCTCCTGCTCCCTGTCCTCGCTCACCCCTGCCTCGTGATACTTCAGCACGCTCCCGGCAAACATTATCAGAATCTCTGTTACACCGCTGCTCATCCATCTCTCCATTGTCCTACCGCATCCTCCTCGTCTTCCTCCTCCCGTACTCCTTGTTGTCATGCTTTTGCTCGTGGCGTTTTCTTCTGCCCTCTTCTCCCTGTGTCTCCCATCCCCTCAATTTTGCCCAGGCTGCAGCTGAACGGCGGCGACCTGATGACAATGGAAGGCATGACGCAGCGGTACTACCACCATTGGCTTCCGAGGACTGGCCAGGCACGCCTGAGCCTGACCTGGCGCTGGATCACGGCTCATGAGGGCAAGTGCCCACGCAGATTTTGATCGCACTGTTTTCCTGTTATTGTCCGCTCACTCCCCCGCGCGTGCTCGTCGCCTGTGGTCTTCACTCTATTTTTCTATGCGGTTTATGCCGTCAGCCCCATTTCGGCCCGGCCCCGGCAGAATGGCGCGCACGCGTGCAGGCCTGTCTCACGTCTGCAGAGCTCGCGTGCCTGTGCCATCTCAGAAAAAGGCTCCGTAGGGCTCCCCATTGGGGCCGTTGTCGGCGCCCCGGCATGGCGGCAGACGCGTCCCCAGACCTCCGACGATCCGACGGCATTGTTTTTCCCAACCATCCTGTGGTGTTGGGTCCTCGTTTTGAAGAGACGGTGCCCCGCGTCCTCCTCTCCTCTCCTCTCCTCCTCCTCCCCCCTCCTCCCTCCTCCCGTCATCATCATCATCGTCATCATCATCACCATCATCGTCGTCATCGTCATCGTCATCATCGTCGTCGTCATCATCGTCATCATCGTCATCATCACCATCATCGCCATCATCATCGCCGTTATCGCCACCATCATCATCATTGTCATCCTCATCATCATCATCATCATCATCATCATCATCATCATAATCATCATCATCCTCCGCATCATCACCATCACCATTACATCATCATCATCATCATCATCATCATCATCATCATCATCATCATCATCATCATCATCATCATCCTCCGCATCATCATCATCATCATCATCATCATCATCATCATCATCAGCATCATCATCATCATCATCATCATCATCATCATCATCATCATCGTCATCGTCATCATCATCATCATCATCATCATCATCATCATCATCATCATCATCATCATCATCATCATGCGTCCCCTGCACCCATTTCGGCACACCCTCACACGTTTCGTGGCCCCAAACGGAGCTCCACCGAACGCCCCAGTGGCTGCGCTCGCATGCAGTTCCACCCCCCTTTTCGGCACACCCCTCACACGTTTCGTGGCCCCACAGGGAGCTCCTCCGAACGCCCCAGTGGCTGCGCTCGCATGCGGTTCCACCCCCCATTCTCGCACACCCCTCACACGTTTCGTGGCCCCACAGGGAGCTCCACCGAACGCCCCAGTGGCTGCGCTCGCATGCGGTTCCACCCCCACCATTTCGGCACACCCCTCACAAGTTTCGTGGCCCCATAGAGAGCTCCACCGAAGGCCCCAGCGTCTGCGCTCGCATGCGGTTCCACCCCCCTTTTCGGCACACCCCTCACACGTTTCGTGGCCCCACAGGGAGCTCCACCGAACGCCCCAGTGGCTGCGCTCGCATGCGGTTCCACCCCCACATTTCGGCACACCCCTCACACGCTTCGTGGCTCCATAGGGAGCTCCACCGAACGCCCCAGTGGCTGCGCTCGCATACGGTTCCACCCCCCATTTCGGCACACCCCTCACACGCTTCGTGGCTCCATAGGGAGCTCCACCAGAGGCCCCAGTGGCTGCGCTCGCATGCGGTTCCACCCCCAATTCTTGCACACCCCTCACACGCTTCGTGGCCCCATAGGGAGCTCCACCGAAGGCCCCAGTGGCTGCGCTCGCATGCGGTTCCACCCCTCATTCTGGCACACCCCTCACACGATTCGTGGCTCCATAGGGAGCTCCACCGAACGCCCCAGTGGCTGCGCTCGCATGCGGTTCCACCCCCCATTCTCGCACACCCCTCACAAGTTTCGTGGCCCCATAGGGAGCTCCACCGAACGCCCCAGTGGCTGCGCTCGCATGCGGTTCCACCCCCCCATTTCGGCACACCCCTCACACCCCTCACACTCGTAATCAGAAATATAAGTTTCCTTCGCGTTGTGTGCCCCCGCTAGGCATTTCGGCACGCCCTTCATGTGGTTCGTGGCCCCATAGGGAGCGCCACCGAGGAATATATCCACAATTGCGGTATTCACAACTGCGTATGGTTGGGTCTTTCGTCAGGCTAATTTTTCCAGTGGCTCGCCCCAGGGCCTCTTGACCCCTTCCCCTGGGATGGTGGAAATTGCCAGCTTTCCCACTGAGGGAAAGGGCACTCCACCATGCGAAACGTCAGCCATGGATGAGGAGGAGGTGGAGAAAGAGGAGGAGGAGGAGGAGGAGGAGGAGGAGGAGGAGGAGGAGGAGGAAGAGGGGGAGGAGCAGGAGGGGGAGAAGGAGGAGGAGGAGGAGGAGGAGGAGGAGGAGCAGGAGGAGGAGGAGCAGGAGGAGGAGGAGGAGGAGGAGGATCAGGAGGAGGAGGAGAGGGTTGACTCCAGGACCTCTTGACCCCTTCCCCTGGGGAAGCTTTTCTATTCCAGGCTGTGTTGCTGGCAGGCCCAGGGCCCCAAGACGGCCTGCTCCAGACGCCGAGTGCTGAGCGAGCGTCGGGCCATCTTTTGTTCGAGTCGCCACGTGGTCTGGGCCTGAAGGACGAGCATTTCATGGGCACATTTTTCACCACCGCTACCACATGTAGGACGGGGGAGAAGGGAGGATGACGAGGTCCTCCTGCTCCTCCTCCTCCTCTTGCCCCTCCGTCTCCTCCCTCTCTTCCTTCTCCTCCTCCCTCTTTTACTTATGGTAGCGGTGGTGGAAAATTGGCCCATCAGTATTGTCAGCCTGGCTGGTGCGTGCAGCACCCTGCTTAGATTCCGGTGCGGCAAGCCCTAGGCCGACGAGGACGGGAGCGGGAGGGGCTGCGCGTGTGGCTCGGCGTATATCCGCCCAGTCTGCAGCATTCAGGCAGGCAGTCGACGGTATCAGCATCAAAGTCAAGAGTTTCATCACATCGTGCAAGACTGGTCTTTTTGCCCCTCGCGATCCGCACCCGAGACCGCGAGGTGGGACTTCAAGGGAGCAGCGGCCCCCTTGGAGCCCGGCGTCCGCGCGATACGGTCGTCATTCGTCGAATGCGTGGGGGCGGGAATCCCAAGGGTGGCGGGGCTCCTTGGGGACTGGCGGCCGCGGCGTGCAGGGTGCCGGAGGCGGGTCGGGAGCTCGTTTCTTTCGATCTAGCAACCCCAACCCTTGGCATCGCTCGGAAGTGTGCAATCTTTCTCGCCGAGGACCATCGAGGACCATCCTGGACCATCGGGCACAAAAAAACACGCACGAAACCGAAACATGCACGGAAAATGAACGTCCGAGCGATGGCAAGAACCTGTCGACGGGGTTAAGCGTTCGCACTGGTGGTCTCATGCCATGTGCGGCATACGGAGGCCGTTTCCATGCCACCGAGAAGTCAGGCAGCGATGCAGTATGAAGGCCTGGTCCTAGAGAAGAGGTCGAGAACTGCAGGGGCCGATGTTGCGTAATAGCATGTGGTCCGAGGTTCTGGACCCCTCGGTATCAAGAGTCGCCTACAGAACAGCAGTTGACCTCGATTATGGTTCGGCTTCCTAGGCATTTTTGAAGGCCTGGCTTGCATTATCTCACAAGGGCTTTCTGATGATAGCTTTGACGGCATGTTTGCGCCTACAAGGTTGCATGGGTGTGCATCATGGGGAACGACTGTCTCTTTCGGACAGGAAGTTATGCACCGCCAGCGAAGGATGCTACGCATGATTCTTGGGTCAGAGCGAATGCTAATACCAGACGCCTGTGCCGACACAGGAGCGGCGACGAGAAGCAGCAGCGACACAAAAGACGGCACTTACGATCTGGAGCCTTATGTGGAACAGGCACCGTGAAGAACTAATACATATCGGCATCGGATTTGGCAAAGTTTGGCGGTGAGCATTGCGCTGATACACAGCGCAGGCGGACAAACATGGATGGGCGCAGCATGCACCAATGGTCATTATGGCACGCGGTCACACGAAGCATTGCGCCGGGATCCTACACACAGTGCCGTTTTTTAATACATGCTCCGCGTGCGGATCATGTAGTTTAAATGGCAGGGATTTAGTATTAAACAAAATTAACCATAAACTAATCATGAAAAATAAAAAAACCAACATGATTTTAACATCCTATGTAGTAAAAACTGCCCTGTACATAGCACGGAGAGCATCGCATGTCCCAGGCCGCCGCCTGACGGATGGGCAGAGCAGTGGCCCCGGGCCTCGCCGCCGACCTCCCGCGGAGGCGCGCTCCCGGGCCGGCGAGCACGCGGCACGAGGCGCGGCATCGGCGCCTTTCCTCTCCCTGCCCCCGTAGGGCTCGCCGCCGCCGACCACGCGTCGCCCCACGCCCGTGCTCCGACGGCGCCCACGTGGTGCCCGCTGCTGGTACTAGCTGGGTCCCGCGCCTCGAAGAAGTCAGCAGCATTCCAGCATCAGAGCGATGGGGCAGCACAGTCTTGCACCATTCCCGAGCGTGTGGGTGCAGTGGTGTCCCGTGGTGGCCAAGGTTCTGCCTGTTGTTTGCTTGTCGTTTGTTGTTTGATGCCCCCCACGCGACCCACCCGCGAGCCACCCCGCGACCTGGACTGCGACCCACCCGCGACCCCCCCCGCGGCCATCCCCCCCCCCTCGTACCCGCATCTGCGGCGTGGTAAAGTAAACGGAACTATCCTGAGATTCGCGGGGATTCTTTTGCGTAGCTCGCCGGGCCCCCCCCCCTGGTGGCGGCGCCTTCGGCGCCGCCCCTGGCGCGCCCTGTGCACGCCCCGCGCGCTCGGCGCCTTCGGCGCTCCGAGAGCTCGTGCTCTCAGTGCCTCGCTGTTCTGCGGCGCCCGTGGGGGCGCGGCGCCAAGCGCACGTCGCGCGTCGCGGTCTGGGCCAGGATCGGCTGCCCTTCCTCCGGCAGGGGGGCTGCGCGCGGCCGCGAGGGGAGTCGCGCCGTGGCGCACGCGCACGGCGGGGCACGAGCCTGCGAGGCCAGGTGGCCTGCAGCGGAAGACCTGTGCCAAGAAGCACCCTGGTTGTTTTTTTTTTTTCCACAGATCGCAGCCCCCTCGCAGTCGACCTGTGGAGGGGGGCCATCCCCTTTTGTCAGCCCACGGGTCAGCCCCTGGTTGCCTCCAGGTTGCCCTGGGCTGCCTGGGCTTCGATGGTTCTGCGGCGGAAAACGTGGCGCCCCCATGCCA